AATTAGTATGGAGGCCATCGCTATTTGGTTGGAGGCCATCGCTATTAGGTTGGAGGCCATCCCTACTAGGATGGAGGCCATCGCTCTTAGGTTAGGCCATCGCTACTAGGTTGGAATAAGGAAGTCTCTATGACCTTTCAGATGTTTTTTTGGAATGCAACCAGCCTTGGGAGTCTTTTTGATACCAAGCCTCTCAAGAAGATGTGCTGTAACATCATGTTGTTGGCTAATTTCCTGGCTCCTGCCTTGCTGATGACCGACTGAGCTTCGAACGCTTCGAATATCTTTGCAGATTCTACATCGATGTCAAGCAGATTCTGCATTATATTCCGGCACTGACTGCGTGCTGGTGTTTTGCCAATGCCCATCGACTGTCGCAGAATTGCGAGTAGCTTATCAGGCCCGTCTACGAAAAAGCCACGACACTGAAGACTGAGTTGTGTGGTCCTTTAGGAACACTTTGAATCACTTTGAATATGTTCTTTCCGAGCAGTCAGCCGGGGGCCGGCTGACAAGGCCACGTACAAAAGTCCTTGATCTATCATGAACTTGGCTCAAGAATAGCCCCAGGCTGTTTGAACTTAATCGGAGTTTAGACATCTGAATATTTAAGGGGTTGCTAACCCTCGTTGTCCTTTGCTTTCCATGACGAAACCAGGCGCGGGCTTTCCGTTGGATGTGGGGGCCTGTCTTTTTTTTGAAAAGCTCAACGTCCCATCGTCAGGGTCCTTTGCAAGTCCCAAACCAATGCCGCATGCCCGGGCGCCTCCCATGCGGCTTAAGCAAAAATAACAATGTGATGGTTTAATAGTGTAAGAACAATGATGGTTCTTCGGCGAATTCAAGGGTCCATCACCGGGAAGCCGAAGCTGGGAAACCGGCTGGGATAGGAGGCTTTTCAGGGGTTGCTCGAAAGAACACCCTGCAGAGATCATTCGAACTTCGGTCTGGTGAAGCAGGGTTTGCTTAGGGAGACAACCAACTCAAGGCCAAAGTACGAAGAGTTCCTCTTAGTCACTGACCTGACAGCTACAGCTGTGCAGGACTATAGCCTCCACTAGCCATTAAAAAATGCGGAGTTGCTCACATTCATGCTAATTACTCTGACCATTCAAGCTCATTCTCCCCCATCTGCTTGCAGAGTCTTGCTCGCTCTGCCAGCCTGAGCCATCCCTCAGTCATTGCCTGCCACAATGTCACCACACCAGCCGGCGCGGTCAAAGATTTGGCTTCGATCCGGTTTCTTTGAGTCGACGAGAGGTGACCGAAAAGGATACCTTCCACTACCGAAGGGGTGGTGTTTGAAGAGAAAATGCGCAGGGGTGTCTACAAATATACTGTACCGGCTGTACGGACCCTTACCGTGGTGCTGGTTGTGTGTTGTTTTGTTTTGCGCGCGCATGATGTCAAACATGCTGCTTTTAGCAGGAGGCTCCGTTCATCTCCCTTCACACCATTTCACACCCCATTCCTCCAAAAAGGGACTGGTGAGAAACCCCACATCCCCAGACCCCAAATCAACAACATGATCGGACTCGAGGCTGGGTAGAAATGCCGGTGCGTCCTGCCCCACTCTCCGCCCGGCTGGGTCTGCAGGACTTTCGGCCTCTCCTGGCAGCGGTGAGCAACCATGTGCGATCATGAGAGCTGCTGTTGAAGCCATTCCTTCTGACAAGAGCGACACAGGTTCCTTGCTCGCAGAGTGATTCTGCCGTCTAGTGCAATGATTTGTAGCCAGGATGTAAATTTCAAATAATTTCAATGTTCGTGAATGTTGTAGAACATTCCTAGAAAGCCGAGTACCCAAAAGAACGTGTTTTCACGACACATATCACATGGGTATACCTATCCAATTGTTGTGGCCCAACGCTTTTGAAGGCAAGGGAAAAGACAGGGGACAGAGACCATCAGAGACATCCAAAACTGAAAACTGGTCCAACGGGGTCGATGAAGCGGGTCCATTCCAAGCAGTGGATCACCTCGAACTTTTCTGTGGGAATTGGAGACACCCCACTTCACATGGACAGCTGGACAGCTCAGTGGACGACAAAGTCTCGTCCCCCCAAAAATCTCCACCCCCAACAGCGGAGCCCGATTTTGTTCCGGTTTTCTGGGCTCACCCAAAGTGCTGCAGCCAGCTCAGCCAAGAAAACGCCGCCGAGGTGCTGAGCTGGTGAGCCACGCTCTCTCGGAAGCCGCCCGCTCGAACCGCCGCGTGCACCGGCGCGTGCGCTTGCCGGCCTACGCGGTGGGCTCCGTGCTCATGGGTTTGTCCATGTGGTGGGTCCGGTGCCTCAGAATGGACTCGAAGATCCTCGGTGGGCTCGGGGCTCGGAAAGTAGATGGAGGTCCAAATCGAGAGAGACCTAGTGAAATACAGGGTTTAAGATGGTCTAATCGAAGTATGATAAGGTTACTTTGGGGTCACTAGAAGACGTGCTTTCAGAATTGGACTCATATATATCTATAAATGGGCAGAAGGATTCCCAAGCCTGGTGGGGACGGGGCCATGGTGGAGCCTGGGCGGTGTGCCGATCGGTGTGCCAGTCGACCCGTTTCGTACCCGAACCTGGTCATCCTCCCTTCATGGCTTCGTGCATGTATTTTGGTCTTCCGGCCATGGTCCGGAATGGCGGCGTCTCCTTATTCTACTACACACCCACATGACCCGCACGACCTCCCCCAAACAGCAGGTCGGCCTCACGCCTCAGAGGCGTTAGGCCCAGAAGTCCGGTCGTGCTTCCTTCGAAAGACATCACAGGCATGACCACCCAAAGAGACACGACCAGGACCTGGACCCAAGGTTCCTGGGTGGTTTTTGGACACCCCGATATCACAGGGAGACAGGAGCTTATTGATAGACACCCCGACAGGAGGGTCCTGGAACATACTTGTGCACCTCAGTACCGCCAGCATGTCGTAAGGAGACAGCCTGAAAGATAGGAAACACGTCATAAACTCATACCATGTCAATCCACTCTCATTCGGCTTCCAACACCCATCACCCATAACGGCCCCCCAGATTCCTCTTCACCACAGCGACTGAGGTCTACACCTCCTGGACCTCTCAAGCTGCCGCCTTCCTGCTGATCCGCGACTGCCTTCGCTCCTTTGGATGCTTGGCGTGGCTCTGCGCGGTGCTTCCATCGGATCGCTTCGGTTCCAAGGCTCTCCCGGGTGGGGATGGGCCACGTGGGGATGGGCTGGGCCGAGGTGGGGTTGGACTTTTTAGGTGAGATGAAAGATGAAAAGAAGGAAAAGCTGTGGGTGCAAGAACCAAGAGAACCAAGTGGAACCAGTTCAGGGGGGAACCGGGGTGTCATCGATGCGATCTTTCTCTTTGCATCTCTTAGTGCTCAGTCAGAGAGGTTGCTAGTCAGAGAGTATTGGACCTGACTGTTGGATGATGTGTGTAAAGTAACATACGTCATCTCATTACAGTACTGACTTTAAGTAGATCTGGACTTTGATGTTGTTTCTCGGAGCACGAGGCGTTCCTTTTTTTCCTTTTCGTTGTCAGGTCGGTTCCATTCTTCTCTTCATCCTTGGAGTGAAGTGTGCCATTTGGCATACTCAGACATTGGTGGATTATATGAAGCAACTCCCTGAGCATGGCGAAGATGGACAGCCATGCCTGGTTGAGGATGAAGAGACTGATTGTGTCTTAGGCGGGCCGAGCCAGTGGTATACCGTATTATACCGTCAAGAAAAGAAATCGCTGGACTGAGGGCAAGATGGATGCTGGTAAACCCCATACCTGGAGCCTAAAGGCAACTATACCTGCTTTTAATATATAGGGGCGTCTTTCATTTTCTAGGGTACTTGAAGTCGGGTCCAGGTACAAGACTTCATGTTTTGCGAATGGAAAGGAATCAAGGAATCAAGCCCAAAAGAGTTCGAAATCAGGTGCATTCACCATCGGGAGCATCTCGATCATGTACATCCTTAT